ATGGATGAGAAACCTCAGCCTGGATGTTATTTTGTCCAGCACTTCCTGTCCCAGTGACCCCTGTGACGGTCTTTTCCAGTCCTGGTGTCACAGTGGTGTCAACGAAACACAGCGAGAGTAAATCTCCCCTGTGGGGGTCACAGACCACAACAAAATCCTGTCAGAGGCTCTAGCCTAGGGGTGGGCAACTCTGGCCCTCAAGCTGTGGTGACACTACAAATCCCATAATCCTTCTGCCTCTGGGAGTCATGCCTGTGGCTGTCCGAGTGTTGCAATGCCTCATGGGACTTGTAGTTCTACAACAGCTGGAGGGCCGAGGTTGTCCACCCCTGCAGTCTAGCCCTCCACCTAAGACTGAAGGAAACCCTGTGGCTGGAGTTGGAAGATGATGTTGATGGGTTTGTCATGTTAGAAAAGAAGAATAGTTTTTCATTGCTGCGTAGGGTATATCGGTCTCCTCACCACCAAATATGTCGCCGCCATATACCACCGAGGAGTACTAGGAGCACAGTGTGACATGTACAGAAAGATGGAGGTGAGGAGACACTGACACACCATACGTCATATATTTCTATCACAGAGGGGGGGAGGGTACATGAGACGCCGGTACCGAAGCTCCGCCGCTGCTCACCGTCCGGTTTCGTTTCTCCTGCTGCTTGATCCGGCCAGCCAGGGTCCTTCCGTCCTCCCGCTGCGCCGTAATTACGTCACCAACAGCTGGCCGGGGACCTTCCGCACTCCCGACGCGCCGAAGTGACGTCACAACGAGCCGGAACACTGGGGTCCTTCTGCCATGACAGTGACGCCGCGGAGTCTGCCCTGTCCGCTGCCTGTCTCACAGAGAGCCGAGCGGGTACAGGGGGGTGACAGGCGTGCTGTAATTAATCACCGATCGGCCCTGAAAATGTCGGCTTCATGGATGTCCCTGGTTTATTCATTTCCTGAAACAGGCGGGCCTGTCCGATGTATTGTCATGTCTGTCCTGAGTCAGAGGATCAGCATGACAGGCAGGAAATAAGTTTATTGGGAGGTCAGCAATGGCAGCTGCTGTATATCCTCTAGTACAGGAAACCCCAAATATCTGATGATAGGATCTTCTCACCCACTGCACATTACTACTACTAACCTACTACCACCTCCAACCTCCATACTACTACCACCTCCAACCTCCATACTACTAACCTACTACTACCTCCATACTACTAGCTCCAACCTCCATACTACCACCTCCAACCTCCATACTACTAAACTACTATTACCTCCAACGTCCATACTACTTCCGTCCCTTGCGAGTGTCCGAGTCGCAGGGGAGCGGAACCGGCGGGAGATTCAAAAGTTAGAAAAAAACTACAACAAATAGAGCGGAAAAAAGGAAGAAAAAATCATACCGCCGGGGAGGTTAACTGTGTGGATGGAGTAATCTCCGGCTGGGCCAAGCTTCCGTATTCATGCTAGTCGGCCCCGCTGGCTCTCAAAACACCTGAACAAGGCCTGCATCCAATCAGATTGTTCAGGTATTTTGACAGCCAGCGGGGCTGACTAGCAAGATACTGAAGCTTGGCCCAGCGGGAGATTCCTCCATCCACACAGTTTAGCGTAGATGGATGAATCTGTTGCACTTTTTCCATCTGACCATAGAAAATCTTCAGATAATTGTAAGGTGTATGGCCAGCGTTAGATATCCATCCGGCTTGATGATTGGGGCTTCTGGGGAGCTTCACCCAAACCATAAAAATAAAAAAGGCAGAATTTAAAATTTCATTAAATGACATCAAAAAAAGGGGGTTTGCATGACAGATATAAAATGATGACCTAAATGGTTTCTACGTAACACTACAGGTCATGTGACCCCGGTATGCATACTGATACCCAAAACCAGCTTGAAGAAACCCTTCCCAACAGGCGGGCCATGTCCAGACTCCATCCAAGGTCCATACCAGCTGGCTGAAGATGCTCCTACATGACACAACCCTTCAGTTCTCCTAGGGAAGCACAGGAAGGGGCCTCACCTATTGCCAAGTTCATCATTTCAATGTTCAGATCTGAATGAAGCTCTTTGGATGTAGAGCCTCCAATTCTCCGCTGTTTCTGTACCACCGCCATGAGAAAGCTACACAAATCCCCCTTCCTTCCATAGAAATGCATTTCAGGTTTTCATGAAATTGCATCTGAAAAGGAATCTGCTTATATTTTGCCTTCCCTGGTTCCTCCCTCTCCCCTCATCAAAATGCTAATGAAGTTTTTAAATAAAATCGATCCACTTTAATTACAGCTTATTATAGATCCAGTGATGTCATCACCGGACCTCTGTGCTTTTCTGTGCAAT